AATTAAAAATATTACTTGAAAATACTTGTGAATCAGCTTCTTTGACAACTGATCTTTGGACGGCTAAGAATAAACATAGGTATATTGGTATAACTTTACATTGGATATCAGAGGATTTTAAAGTATATGATTGTTTTCTTTGTATGGAACGTATGCCATACCCACATACTGAAACAAATATTGTATCTTTTTTAAAAAAAAAAGTGGTTTAAATTGGGTTGGAAGAAAAATTACTTATGTTGTAACTGACAACAGAAGTAATATGATTAATGCAATTAATCAATGGGATGATGTTGATCATTTACATTGTGCTGCCTATACTCTGCAACTTTCAATTAATCGTGCATTTCAAAAAACTAATGTTTATATTAAGCGGATTAAATTGGTACACTTTTTTACAAGCTTCCCTAAACAGAGTGAACGCCTTGATGATGCATAAAAAGAATGTCGATGGTATAATAATACAACTTCACAAAATATTTCTAATAGTTTTACTGATAATGATTATAATGATAATGATAATAGTACAAATGAACCACCAATGTTAGATTCAGCCAATTCAAAAGAACTAATTTTATGAAATATTGCTGACATTAAAACTCGATGGAATTCTAAATATCATTCTTGGAATCATTTATTAAAGTTACGCAAAGCAATTGAATGGTTGGGTACAACTTTACCTTTATCTGATAATCCTGATGATCGTGCAGATGGAAGAAAACTTAAAAAGCAGCTTTTATTACCTCATGAATGGGATTAATTGAAACAAATTATGGATTTATTAGAACTATTTAATGATGCCACTACTTATTTTAATGGAACATCTTATGCCACTTTATCAATTATTTATCCTTTAATTCAAGTTCTCAAATTCAAATATGCATATGAATCTTTTGAAGAAGATGATAATAATTTAGAAATAGAATAAGGTAAATTTGTCATGTTATTATTATATTATTTGAATTTATATTATTTGCTAACTATAACATATTTTATAGATATT